ATATTTTCCATAAAACATTAAACCGATACAATACTCGATCTACCGGAAGATTTAAAAAACCTTTCCGTACATCAAAACTTACGAGCTTTGCCATTTCCTATCGTGGCCGAATGCTATGGAATCATTTTACAAGCCTGAGTGGTAAAGAAGTCAATACCTCTCAAAAATTTAAAAAGAACATAATCGAACTTATTGCTAATCACGATTCTTTACATGATTTTTCCTAACAATACACTTTTATTTTCAATTTTTATTATCAAAGGTTACTGATGATAAGATTTTATCTTCTTCAGGTATTCGGTTTTGTAACTATTATAAATAATAAAATATACTTGTATTTAATACTTTTAAATATTTTATCGGAAATTACCTTTAATTGTAAATGGTTGCTTGACAATAAATAAATAAAATAAATAAATTTCAATGAATTTCTTTAATCTAACAAGACATTTTGAAATATAAACATCTTCTACTTAGACTACTTAGTGATATACTGCTAAGAGATTCCTTTGGTCGAGAATGCAATCCAAACAAGTAAATTTGGCTCAAATTTGTCTTTTCTTTTTAACTTTACATCATTTGATGCTGTATTTATGCCAGAAGAATAGAATCCAGCATTTCCAGAAATATTGGTGTTGCTCAAATAAAAATACGATTCATTGTCAATAATAACTACTTTTTTCCTAAAAATCGAAACCAATCTACGGTACTTTGAACGAACAGCTGCTTTTTGAGTCGGTGTTCTTTTAGGTGTTTTAGTTCTTTAAGATAACAAATACTAGTTTTTTTGTGAATAATTTTGCATATGTACGGTTGTAATACATGGAATCCTTTTGCAAAACCACGCTGTGAAATACCATCTTTTTGATCAATCGAACTTTTAAGACGTTTTATCTCTTTTGCAGACATCTTTTTTGCTTTGCGACCACTTCCAACTTTTCGTTCTGGTCCTATATTATTCTCCATTCTTTGAAGTTTATTATAGATAGTAGATTTTGGTATGTTCTCCATTTGAAAATGATTTACAATAAAGCTTTTATTCTTATCTGGATGCAAATCAAAAAATGCGTACACTCGTTTTCTAAGAGAGTCTTCTTTACAAGTCTTTTTTTTCATTTTTAATTATTACTAAATAAATTTTTTTTTAATAAAACATTTAAAGAATTAAATTTGTAATAATATAGGAGTGATTGTAAGTATATTAAATTATTCCTTCATATTTTATTATTTGCTCAAACTTTGTCCAGATTTTAAGATATCACATGTTATAGTGGTATTTTTTGGTAGAGTTTGTTAATATTGTACCGTTGTCAACTGTTTTTGGAAAAATAGAAAGCATTTATCAAATAAGCTATTTGTTAATTTTTTTTTTTTAACATTTTTGCTTTCAACAAGGCTGCAAGCAACCTTGCAAGCAACCAACAAGGCTGCAAGCAACCTTGCAAGCAACCAACAAGGCTGCAAGCAACCTTGCAAGCAACCTTGCAAGCAACCAACAAGGCTGCAAGCAACCTTGCAAGCAACCAACAAGGCTGCAAGCAACCTTGCAAGCAACCAACAAGGCTGCAAGCAACCTTGCAAGCAACCAACAAGGCTGCAAGCAACCTTGCAAGCAACCAAAACTAGTAACAAAACTGTTACGTGTGGAGTTCCTCGAGGTTTTGTTCTTGGTCCTCTTTTGTGTTTAATTTACATTTATGATCTAAACAACTCTGTTCACTTCTTGTCGGTTCATTTATTTTCAGATGATACAAATCTCTTGCATGTCAACAAATCATACTATTCTCTATGTAAAAATATAAATTTGGATCTTAAAGGTACAGCTCATTGGTTAAATGCCAACCTAATATGTCTTAACACCGAAAAGACTGAACTAATTTTTTTTTTCCTCTCCTAGAAAAAACTGTAACAACAACAAAAAAAAACTGTAACAACGTTGAAATTAAAATCAAAATAAATAATAAACAATTATATCCCTCGAGAGTTAAATATCTTGGTGTGTTAATTGATTGCAATCTTTCGTGGAACTTCCATATCGATAAGCTACGCAAGAAACTTAATCGTGCAAATGGTATGCTTTCAGTAATTCGACATTATGTCAATAAAGTTACTCTTTTAAATATTTACTATGCCTTATTTTCATCTCATCTTAGTTATTGTTGACAAATTTGGGGACAAACTGGCAACTATCATATTAACAAACTAATGTCATCTCAACCCAATCCATTAGAATAATAAACTTTCAACCTTTCAAATCAGATACATCAAATTCTTTTAAAAAACTTAAAATTCCAACCTTTCATTTGCTAGTAAAGTTTGCTAATTTTCTTTTTGTTTTTAACTCTCTTTTTTAATAGAAAGTAGACTAATTCATACACACTCTACGCGAAATATAAATAATGGAAAACTTATTGTACCATCATATAAAACTCAAAAGTATGGTAAGGATTTTGTTGTGTATCAGTGCATTTGTGAATGGAACAAGAGTCTTGTGTGCATTGTGAATGAGTTCAATAAACTCCAACTCCAAACTCCTTTGTCATCTTTTCTTAATCTTAATCAAAATCAATTTAAAATCAATTTAAAATTCTGAAAAATATTTTGTTATAATTTTTTTCTATTACTAATATAATTATCCTTATATTTTTTGTTTATTTTTCTTTTCTCTTTTATTATTACCTACATATATGATTTTTAAAAAGTTTACTTTATGTGTGTCTATGTTTTATGTCTATATGTTTATTAATAATCATATTATTTTGAAAAATAGTGTCACTCCTTTGATCAGACTTCTGTGCGAGTGACACCATCCATACTAATCATTAACTTATTATAATAAGAGATAACATACCATTTTACTTATTATTATTATAGTAATTATTATTATTTATAGTTTTTTTTTGTTATTATTATTGTTATAAATTATTACTATTGCTTATTATTTTATAATTATTATTTTTACTATTATTTACCTTATTATTGTAAAAATGATTTTAAATTGAAAATAAAGAGCATGTTGTTGTTGTTGTTGTTGTTGTTGTTGTTGTTGTTGTTGTTGTTGTTGTTGTTGTTGTTGTTGTTGTTGCTGTTGTTGTTGTTGTTGTTGTTGTTGTTGTTGTTGTTGTTGTTGTTGTTGTTGTTATTTTTAATACAATATTTACAGCAGCCGTTTCCAAAAAAAAGTTGTGAGGTAAACTCCGTCATCCTGATTTAGACCATCATCTGAACGCGCATATTCATGACGTTACATTTTAAGTGCCTCTCTCATATTTCTTATTGACCTCTACGTTTTGCAATCAAGTTTGCAAACACCTGCAAAAGAATTTTTAAGAAGAGAATGTTTATTTTTTTTGCTAAGTATATTTTGTAAATACTTTTGTTATTTAAAGACTAATGTCTAACATACTTTTTTGAAAAGTTTTAACTTTGGGCTAATTCTTAAAATCAAATATAAAGATTCATTATTTATTGATGACATGGATAAGTATTATGTTTTTATAATGTAAAGATTTGATTCAAAAAAGATGATTCGAGTTTTTCAAATTACTATTTATTCTGTGAGTGTTGTTGTTTTTCAGATATTCAACGCTAAGATGCTATCTAAATGTTTTTATTTGTCTCAGCCTGAGTATAGTAATTTCAGGCTTGTAGCAACCGGAAGGGGGGGGGTGCAACTCTGCAGCAGGGGCATTTGCCCCACCAATAATTTTTCAAATAAATATTTTTGAAGTTAGTTTTCAGAATTAAGCAAACGATTACAAATTAAGATATAAAAGGAAAAAAGGATAGAAAAGGCCTAACTTGTTATACGTATTTTCGGCGTAAGGTCCTTTGAAAAACTTTTTTGATCTACTACTATTTGACCTACCCAATAGTATCCCACCCCCCCCCCCCGCCCTCTTCCAATAAATTTTTTTTTCCACAGGTCTGAATTGTAGTACTGCTTCAAAACAACCGCTGAAAAATTAATTCGGGCAAAAAAAAATTTTTCAAGTAGAATTTTATTTTTTATTTTTTATAAAAAGATGCTAATTTTAAATTTCCTCATATTACTGATTCGATTCGTGATTTAATTTGATTCAATTTTTTTATTTTTTTTATTTTTTATTATAAATTTGCCGTTTAAAATAATTACAACTCTCGTATTTGTAAAATATACACATGGCGGGGACAAGAAGAAGACAAAATAGTCTTATCGCCATATCCCCAATAATCAGTAAATATCAAAAAAAAAAAAAAAGCCATCAAATCTTGTCATTAAAAATGTTGTCAAATATGAAAAGAAAAAAATATATATATTTTTTAAATAAAGATAATAAACTCTAAAATCTATTTTCAATAATAATTGAATACTAAGCAAAAATAAAAAATAAATAAATAAAAAATATTTATTCAAGACTATATATAACAGTTTTTAATTATTGCGATTAAGAATTCCTAATTAGGAAATATAATGAAAAGAATTTAAAATTTTAAGGAAAAATTTTTAGATTTTCATAATAAGGAAATAAAGAATAAAAAATAAGTTTTTAAAGAACCAAATTTTTAAACATTTGCAAATAAAATGAAATATACTATACAATATTTTAAAGGCCAACAATTAAATATAGCTCTAAAAGAAGTTTTTTTTCAATTCACAAATCAAAACCCATTTCGATTCGAGATTTGAAATTGAAAATGCCGATTAGCAAGGCCTTATTATATAAAATTTAATATATTAAAATATTATTAATATAATAATATACAGGGTCGTAGGAACAAAAATTATATTAGAGGTGCAGTACTACCAAAAAATAGTATTAAGGACCTTTTTTATTAGTCATTTTTTCAGTCAATTTCTTCAAAATTATTTACTTGAAAAATTATTAGGGGGGGGGGGAACAAATGCCAGTTGATACGGGCCAGATATATTAAAAAATTTTTGAAACTTATCTCCTAAAAAATTCCATTCATGATAAAACAAAACCACGCCTTAAAACACTATTAATGATCACGTGGCACGTGGTGCAATCTCACTAGTGCTTATTTACTGCGTTAAATAAAATTCTCTCAAGATAAGTATGAAAAATGACGTTGATTTACAAGAAAATCCTAGAAGTTTCAATATCTGCTTTACATAAAAAAATTTATAACCACAATCTCGTATTTCCTGCGAGTAAAAATATAAAATTTTTTTGTGGATTTTCAAAGCAAAATAACTCAAAGTGTTTAGATGTAGTTACTTCTCTCTCACAAGTCTCCGAACATCATAGTGATCTCTATGAGTTGAGTCTTAATGACCCAACAAAGTTTTGGGGTGAAATTGGGAGAAAAAAGTTGCAATGGATTAATGAGTTTCATACTGTAACTGATTCTGATATATCTGTCGGAAAACATGGATGGTTTCTTGGCGGAAAGATTAATATTTCAGGTGGGATTTATGATTCATGATGAAAATTATTATTCATAACGGAAAATTATTATCATGAATCATAATTATATGATTCATGATGATAATTTTTATCATAACGGAAACTCATTAATGTTTATATATATATATATATATATATATATATATATATATATATATATATATATATATATATATTATATATATATATCGATATATATTTAGACACGTTTGGAACAAATTTATCATTAGTAAAATATAAAGTTACAAATTTTAAAACCTTATAAATAATTTCGAAAATCTATTTTTAGTATATAAATTATTAAAGTTGTCCTAGCAAATAAACAACAATAAGTTATTAATTTTCTTTTAATAATAATTACAATAATAATAGTAATAATAATAATAATAATAATAATAATAATAATAATAATAATAATAATAATAATAATAATAATAATAATAATAATAATAATAACAACAACAACAACAATAATCATAATAATAAAAATACTAATAACAATAATAATATTATTATAATGTAGTATTGACTATTATAAGTATAAGCCTAACAATATCTTATAGAAATAAATTAATTATTAATAAAAATCATATCTCTCATACAAAAGTCTGAAAAAAAGTGAAACCAGTTTTTAAGTATAATATGACATAAAGTATATACACAAAAATAAAAATATGTAAAATCATTGTTTGCAGGTAATATAATAAGTAAGAAAAAAAACATTTATAATAATTGTAGTAATAGCAACATAAAAAGGAAGAAAATATTTTTAACAATAGTATGTAATATTGTCAAGAAATTAAAACTAAAAATTTATAAAAATTTTAAAATTGAAGAGGATAACTTTTTATTTAGAGTCAAAAATCAGAAGCTAAATTTATTCGCATTTAAAAGGATAGAATCTTAAGTTTTTAAAAAGACTCTGATGTGATTTAAAGTTTATTATTTTAATTAATTGAAATTGAGATAATAGCATATTTATGTTTGGAGGTCAGCAGTCCTTGAAAACCTTGAAAAGTCCTGAAAAGTCCTGGAAAAAAACCTGATTTAGTAAATAGTTCTTGAAAACCCTTGAAACTTTTTTTGTAATAGTTCAATATTTTGTTATGTTTTCCCTTTTACATAGTTATTTTTTGATTTTGCAGAGAGTTATACTGAATTTGATAATTATGCAATAAATAGCTTTTACTTTTTAAAAGCTGTAAATTATTAATTTTAATTTTAATTTCTAATTGTTGTTCAAAGTAAATAAAAGTAAGTTTAAAAAATCAGACATCAGTATCAGTGTTTAACTGAATCAGATCCATATAAATATCATCATAAGAAAACATAATATTTTGAGCAAATATTTTCTGAGCTAGTACATGTCTTTTACATCAAAGAATGCAGTGACTAAGTTATAAAACTAAAGATTTTTACCATGTCTCTTTCAAATATACCAGAATAAAAATATGAGATTTTTTTAGAAAAAAACTTATTTTAGCAAATCTAAATTCCAAACAATTAGGTGGATAAATTATCAAATCATTTCTTTATATATATATATATATATATATATATATATATATATATATATATATATATATATATATATATATATATGTATATATATATATGTATATATATATGTATATATATATATATATATATATATATGTATATATATATATATGTATATATATGTATATATATATATATATATATATATATATATATATATATATATATATATATATATATATATATATATATATATATATATATACAGGGCTTAATTTAATTTATAAAATCCGAGACAAAATGTCCGATCAAAACATTTTGGGTTGGACAGTGTCCGATCAAATTGTTACGGTTTTAAGGAACCGAGTTATACAATAGAAATCTTTGTCATGTTATACAGTTAATTTAACATTAATTTAGTGAAATTATTATTAAGAATATTATTCATTATTATTAAGAATATTTCATTGCGGATTTTTGTTTTATAATAAAGTAGTTTCAATTTAATATTATGTTTTTTTAGATAGAATTAAATTTTTACGCTGTAACTGACAGTGCTTTTTATTTTTTTTCTTTACAATTTGACAACAGCTTTTTTGATGTTTTAACAATTTAAATGCAATAAAAAAATCGTTAGATTACGAATAGCTTTTAATCATTGATCTTTTTCAAAGTTTTTATTTTCGCGAAGGCTTTAAATAAAATCAAAAATTATTATAATTATCGTAATGACTGTTTAAAATAAACACATTATGTGTAAGTTAAATGTTATAGTTGAATTTTTTTTTAATCGGTATGTATTTTTTATAATAAATTTAAATGTTTGAAACTATTTTTCCATGTCTTTCAAAAAATCTTTTAAAATATTATTTTTTTAAGTTAATCTAAATTATGAATAAGTTAAATTGAATCTTCCCATGATTTAATTGCTTTATTTTATTTATTTTTTTGTTTCTATTTTTACAAAGAATTGTTTATAAGTTGTTAAAGTTGTTTCTATTAAACTTGACTTACTATTTAAAGTATGAAATTGTTAAAAATTACGATTTTTAAAAGACTATGTTACTTTTTTAAACAATTTTTTCTACAACTTTTTGAAAAAAATGTTTACACAACTTAAAAATATTATATATATATTTCTTTTCAATAATTTTATTTCACTTTTCAATAATTTAAAAAAAATTTTTCATTTATTAAACAATCAATAGAGGTAATTTGTAAAAGCGTTTTGCCTAACTTTAATTAAGCGTTTAAAAAAATAAGTTTTAAAGTAATTTCAAATCCAATTAAAAACATTACAATAAGTAATTTTAACTTTAATTTTTTTTGGTTTTATTTTAAAACAAGTTTATTTTCTTTTTCGAAAGGAATTGTTTTGCTTATTCTTTAGTTTTCAATTTTTTTTCTAGTTTAAGTTTTTTTTCAATTTCTTTTTTTAGTTTCAATTTCTTTTTTCAGTGCATTTCTGAAACGTTTAAATCATTCGGACATTTAAACAGTCATGGTCAAGTTTTAAACACACAAAAAAAATCATTTTTATGGTCAGCAATAGCGTTCAATCGCACACCAATCCTTCCCAAGCTTTATTTTGTAAAATTTAGTTCCCGTTGGTCAAAATGTCAGATTACTTTGTAAATTGACTGGACAATCTAAGGTTTTAGCCAGAAAATGTCAGATTTCTGAATGTTAAAGTGAGTCCTGTATATATATATATATATATATATATATATATATATATATATATATATATATATATATATATATATACATATATATATATATATATATATATATATATATATATATATATATATATATACATTTTTTTAAATCATTAAAAATACTAATCTGTATATCACTTTATATATATATATATATATATATATATATATATATATATATATATATATATATATATATATATATATATATATATAAATATATAGTAGATTATACATATAGATGTATAGATTACATATAAATTGTCTTCATACATAGATATACAGATTAGTATTTTTAATGATTTAAAAAAATGCTTTCATAAAAAGATTCTATAATAATATTCGCTATTAATCGAAATAAGATTAACACTATTAATTGAAGCTATTAGCACTATAAATCGAACACTACTAATCGAAATAAGATATATAAGATTAATATGTGCTCAATGTAAAAATTATCAATGAGAATAAGTAATAAGTTCAGTCACTGCTTACCAGTATTTAATTTACTACCAAGAGCGCATCTTTTATTTGCATTAATATTAAGTCTAAATCTTTTTAATAGATTTTTAATAGTCTAGAGTTGTATATAATTAAAAAAGAATGGAAGGTTTTCTGAATTTTTTTATCATAGAGCTTTAGAGTATGAACAAAACATGTTTACGCTACTAAAGTTTTTATTTTTGGAAAAATCAGAAATTTTAAATGACTATTTCTCAATTTTATACTGAAATTTTCAGAAACTGCTTTTCTCATTGATATAAACCAACCCACCTAGTTTCATCAAAATCCGAAGTGGTCCATGTAGAACCTTGGTCCATTAGGCATGCTTGGTATAGTTAAGACAATTTTAAAATATTATAACATTTGTATAATATTTTGCTGACTATGACATATATTTCCTTTAATGGATCTGAAAAAATTAAAATTATAAATTTTGCCATAACATGAAATAAATATGTTTGTAGCAAAAAAATACATAACAAAGATTCTTTTTTTTTTTTTTTTTTTTTTTAATTCTTCCAAAAATCATGCTTGTCCAAATAGTTGAATCTAAAAATTCTAAAATGGTGTTCTTTAGATTTACGATTAAAGGTAATAAAAAAGTTTTGAAAACTATATAAAAAAAAGAAAAGTTTCTTTAAACATAAAAAATTGAAGCAAAAATTTAGTTATAATATTTAAAGCTTTTGTTTAAACATAATACGCTGACAATATCGCGCTAATTCAAATAATCGCCCTAACTACACCCAGTGGAATGAACCAATATTGAAAATAATGCAATAGTTATTAGAGTAAATTGTTAGCAAAAATGTGAGGATAGAATTCACTTGCTACTGCAAGCCCCAAGCTGTTACAGTTAGGAGG